ATTGAATATTTTTTATCTACAAAAGCAGCAAGTTGCTATTCATTGACTGTGTTAGGCACGCCCCGGAAGTATTTTCCATATACTGTGTCACTGGTTATATATAATGCCATGATTAGGTATCATCTTCATTTTACAGAAGAGGAAACTGAGGCTCAGGAATGAAGTAACTTGGCCAACAACACAACAAATTAAGCAGCAAAGTCAGGATCCAAAGCCAGATTCAAAGGCTGAACTCCAAGTCCATCCTGTCTGTTATGTTCCACTGTCTACACTAGTAGATCCAACTGCAGGACAGACTTCCCACCTGGGTGGAGGGCTCAAAGATTTGACGGGGTGGTAGACTCTTTCCTCTCTAAAGTACTAACCACAAGGTTCTCTTAACAGCGGCTCTCTGTCCTCACTGCTGTTCCTGTTGCCCAGGCTGTCACAGCTCCTGCATTAACCAGTTACTTGACCTTATGCTTAAGGACAATTACCAAACTTACCTGCTCCTTCTAACAGGGTAGCAGCCGTGAGGACCAAAGGTTGGCCAAGTGCTTAAAAACAAAATCTGGTCATGCTACAGTATCATAGCATTTGTCACACCGTGTTCTATCGCCTGTATACTTGTCTGCTACCAGCTACCTCCCCTTGCCCCAGACTGGAAACCCAGTGTTATGGACTGAATTGTGACCCCTATACCTGTGGTTATAATCCCATTTGGGAATGAGTTTTGTTATGATAACATGACAGTGTAGGGTGTCTTAAATCAATCTCTTTTGAGATATGAGTAGATTAAGCAGGCAAGCAGAGATGGGGAAAGAGGGTAGGGCCCTGGTGTCACAGTGGTTAAGAGCTCAGCAGCTAACCAAAAGGTCAGCAGTTCAAATCCACCAGCTGATCCTTGGAAACCCTATAGGCCAGTTCTACTCTGTCCTATAGGGTCACTGTGAGTCAGGACTGACTCAAAGCAATGGGTTTTGGTTTTTTTTTGGTTCTCCACGGCATGATCCAAGTTTTATGAAACTATCTGTAGTAACTAGCCTCCCTAGTGGTGCTCAAAGCATCTTAGTCCTAGGTAAAACACGCGCCTGCGGCCTCTCACTCTAGAACAGCAGAGTGAGAACGCATGGGAGAAGCTGTTCAATTACAAACCCTCACCAGCCACTGGAGTACCTGCCCATGTCACACTTGGGGTGCAAATGTGAAGTCATCGCTTCTGTCACATCGTTGAATTCCCATGGCCAGCCTCCTCTTTGCCAACAGTAGGATCACTTACGTACAGGCTTTAGACTCTGTAGGGGGTGACCAGCCACCCATTCAAGTACACCTAGGGCACACCCGCAAAGCAAATGCACGCAGGCCAGGTAGCCAGTATGTTAAGTCCCACTATCCCGAATAAAATCTCCAGATCCCTCTACCTAGGCATTTTCACATGATGTAGTTAATGAAAACTTTTATTTATGGAGAAATAGGCACCGAAAATCCAGAAGGATGTACACCAAAATGTTGAAATTATAGGATTATGTGGGATTATGTAATATTGTAATTCGGTTTTTGCATGCTGTATTAGATCTAAACTTTCCTACAATGAACGTATATTACTTGTATAATAAAGTCCTAAAATGCTTATTGAATGAATTAACAAAGCCAAATGTCGTATGTCTAGTGTGCTGACCACTGAGTGACATTATTCCAAAATTACACTGCCTATTATTTTTAAAAAGTGATCATCTATATACTTACTTCAGCAATATCAAAGTGATCCAATGTGCGTACACCAACTATACAAAAAGATGTGGTCCCTGCTCTTGATACAACACAGTACTGAAGCAAGATGTGCACATAATTAAAATGTTAAAATGCCCCATAGTATGAGTGACTCCCTAAGGTGCAGAAGCAGTTTTTCAAATAACTTTTGAGAAAAGGCCCACTCGTTTGTCAGCTGGAACAAGGCCGGATGGCTTCATGGAAAAGGGGAACTTGAGCAAGAGCCTTGCAGAAGGATTCATGTTAAAACTTGAAATAGCCACTCGGAAAGAGGCCAAGCCTGAGCAGACTGAGCTGGGGAATCATCAGGTGAGTGGGAGCAACAGGGGGGCTAATAGCCAGGCTCTCAGAGTAACAGAACCCCAGTTTTTCTGGGGAACAGAAACAGGCAAAATGTTGGGGGAGGAGGAGACGCAGAGAGAGTAGAGGCTCAGGAGCTAAGAAATTGGGGGAAAACTGGGCTAAACAAAGTC